TCGAAAGTCATTCAAACATTGTAAAATGTCAAATGATAAGATATAAACTAAGTTTGTCAAGAGTATTAACTTATCCAACAAATTGAAAAATTGTATTAATTTAACACTAACTAATTACTCTGATAAAAATGTAACAGTAAAATAAAATATANCTTAATTTGAAAAACTTAAAATTTATCACTATTCCATCGATTTAGCTTAAATTTTGTATTTTAAAGTTTGAGTTTAAAATAAAATAAAAAATTTGTTTTTTACCGAATTTTTCAACCACTAACATATTCAAAGCTATTCGTTATATACAGGGACCGATCAAGACGAATTCTGGCCCAAGGTCCGCAACATTTTCAGGGCCCCTAACAAAATATTTTTGAAATTAAATTTCTGGAGAGTAGTTCTAACTATAAAAAGAATCCATTGAACTGCACGATTCAAGAGAAACATTCTAAAAAATTTTGAAAGTTTACAATTGAAGATTATTTTTCTAAGATAAAGTTTAAACATGTAATTATTAAAGCAAAATATAAAACAAAACAATGTTGCATGAAAATAGTTGACTACCAACAATTGAAATCAGTGATTTTTGCTAAATTCACTGATTAGCTTAATTATTTTAAAGATTGCAGCCTTCCATCATTTATAAGTGACTTTGCGAATATGCATTCTAGTTGCATTTGCTTAAGCCATTGGAGTAAAGATTGCACCAAAAAAAATTCAGCTGTACTTTCGAAATTGATTAGTGCAATGTTTATACAAGTTTGGTTTATCACAATATAAAGAAAATTTGAAACAAAAAATGCCTTTTGAGATACTGTTTCTTTCAGTATTTTTTTTAAAGGAAATATTGTGGATTTCTTACTAATTTTTGAGGCCCCCAGAAAGTGTAGGCCCGTGCCTATTGGGCCTAGGCGATAATCAGGCCCTGGTTATATAAGATTATCTTTTGATACACTAGTTTTCAAAACTATTATGCACAAAAAGTTTTCAATTAACTTTACCTATGATAATGTACCGAAAAGAAAACATTAAAAGGATTTTTGAGATTGAGTACCACCCAAATTTCGATTACAAATCTATAAAAACGTATATTCTAAAAGCATAAGTTTGTGTTTAATTTCGCTACCTATTTGTTTAATTATCATTCATAATTGATTCTTACTAAGATCACTGTACAAAGTATAATAAACACATGTGCAATTATAAGTATATAGCTTTTATAAGCACATTATAATTTAATAAGCACATACTTTTTATTGAAATAGTTAAAAAGACACCATTTTTTAATTTTTACTTGTTTGCTTTAAGTTTAATTTTTCGAGTGAAAACCTTATTTCTAAAGAAACCTGTTCGTTCTATAAAAACCGAAAAAGCCAGTGCTAGATCCAAGAAACAACTTAGTTTAAAAAACTCAAGGAATAGCCACGTTGCGCATTACATTCTTTCAGTATTTTTGAAATATGTCTTATTAAGCCACTCCTTTAAGCGTACAAACGTTATGCATGAAGGCTATAATTTTATTTAAATCTGCCGGTTTTATTTTCTTTCTACTCACTTTTTAACGATATTTTGAATAAAATTTATCACAATTTGTTTTTATGACAGAGTTTTTGATAAATTCAGGATTCAATGCAAGACGACGACATTAAAGCAATATAAAGCTGAACTCAAAAATACAATTATGAAACAAAATCGCGGCTGAAATATGGCGAGCAAAAGTAAAAATAATACAGTACATTTAAATAATTAATATAGAATGAAAATATAATAATTTTCGTAATTTTATATTATAAATGAAAAGCAAATTATATTTCCGAAGTAATGTTACAAAATAACTCGAATTAGAAAATAACGCAAAAACCTGAAGAAAAAGAAAAGAAACATAACTTGTTTTCGGTATATTTAGTCCATCTTTGCAATACGAACAAAATGGGGCATGTTTTTTCGAAAGAAACATCAAAGAAAACAAAAAAAGTTTAGATAATTACCTCGTGAAACTTCTTGGAGACAAGTTTCGAAAGTCATTCAAACATTGTAAAATGTCAAATGATAAGATATAAACTATAAGTTTGTCAAGAGTATTAACTTATCCAACAAATTGAAAAATTTTATTAATTTAACACTAACTAATTACTCTGATAAATTGAAAAATTGTATTAATTTAACACTAACTAATTACTCTAATAAAAATGTAACAGTAAGGTAAAATTCCTATATATATTTCTGAAATAAAAATTTTAAAGTTACACATAAAACAATTTTTGTTAACATATTTTTCATTAAATTGTACTATCGTCGGTCCAAAAAGTAAATTATAATCTTTGGAAAGATTATGAATACTGAATTTGGGGTATATTGAAACTGCCTACACATATTCTGCTTGAAAATTAATTTTTTTTCTTTTGGCCAAAGATCATAATCTAAATTATTTAAATTATCATTTAAACAAAAATGCGAAAAGTTTCTTGAAAATAATTAATTGAATATTTGACTTACCGGAAAAGGATGCTGTTGAAATATACATTCGCACTGGCAAATTTTAAATTAAATCTGCAATCTGGAAGATTCAACGGAATATTCGATTTAGGATAAATTGTCCGATTTCTTTTCATTTTTGAAACTACATAAAGTTCGATCAAAACCACTAATCTAAAACATCCGTACACCATATAGATTGAATATAAAGAAAAAACGTCAAAATTATCGTATATAACTACAACCACTTATTAGAAAAAATAACAATTTCGGTGGAAAAATTCAAGACAGTCACAACCTGATCGCAAAATCTTAGGACAGAGGAACAAACTCTCGACATCGGACATATATATATACTCCATAAAAATGCCGATAACGATTATTTTATACAAAAATTTAAATTTGAAAAGGGGCCTCCCTAGCCGAGTGGTATCACCCGCAATAGGCTGTGCGAATCGTGAAGATTTCAGGTTCGTAACCCTGAATGTCTTCTTCGTGATGTGCTTCAAGCATCACAGGTTGCGATCAGTGTTCGGGTGGGTGACCACTTGGATCAGTCTGTGTAGGGACAGAGGGTGTGCGGTATTGGTCCTCGTNTTTAAAAATTTATATAAAATCAGAGGGAGGGGATAAAATAAAAAGCAAGATGTCGTTTAATCAGAAACAGTTGGGAAAAAGAAATATAAAAATTTTAGATAAAAATATAAACTGCAAGATATTAATTAAAGTTGTAACGTATCAAGCTATATTAAGAAACAGTTCTATGTTTTATTAAAAAAACGTTTATTTCACACCACAACACATACAGTAACGAATATAAAGTACCCGTAACGGGATAATGAAAAGATCATAAAACAACAAGAAAAACCCGTAACGGGATATAAGGAAACTTACCCGTAGCGGGATAGATGAGAACCTAAATTCCACACAAAACTAATTTTAAAAAATGAACAACTTTCTGGTGTTCTAATTTTATCGTCTGCTTTTATTTTTTTAAATTTATCTTTTTATATGCTTCTTTTATTTTATTTATGCTTTTGCCAGCCCGTTCTTTTTTTAATATTTTTACTTTTATTCATACTTTTGCAAACCAATTATCTTTCTTATATTTTCAGACTTTAATAAAGTGTACAAAGTCAGCGTTAACAAGCGGCAAAATTTAACATAGCGAAAACCTATACCCAATCGCGACATATTTTGAAAAGATACAAATAATAAAAGTACCACACCACCGGAAATTAGAAACTTAATAAATTCCGATAGATAATCACATAAGCGTTTGCAACAAAATGTTTTTGACCAAGAATGAGATCGAAAAAATATTAAAATAAGTAGCCAAAGTTAGCGAAAGATTCCACTTGTGGTGGCTGATATTCTAATCCTAAATCAATGGAACATCGAACTTCAAACACTCAAAAATGCGAAAATTGGCCATAATTTTATATTTATTTTTAATTAAAAGACGTTGTTGCTGTTTTTACAAAGAATTTAAAGATTTATCTTATCATATTAAAAATGTAAGAATTAATATTTATACTTACTTGCTAATGAAAATCCATCAGAACCCAAATCCCAATTGAACATTGATCACAAACTCATTTCTAATACGTAGAGCTTTGCCAAGCATCCAGTAATCGTAAGTCGGAGTGGTGAACGAATGAGACCAATTATGATGCTCCTATGGAATAACGAGGGAGCAAAATCCATAGGATAGATTTCTTGCGGATGACCGGTGGAGGAATATCCGTAGGCGATGTTTCCGAAGGACTTCCTACGTATCGTTATCCGTAGGAATGTTAGAATGGAATTTCCCTCGGCGTTCCTTTATTTATCCGCCTCTTCCTTCGGAAGAAAGGGACGCATTTGGGAGGTCCTAGGGAATGTTTTCGGAAGATGAGTGCTATATGGGTAGGTAGGTACTTTATTTGCGTCGCACTAGAGCTTCACAATGGGCTATTGGCGACGGTCTGGCAAACGTTCCTGAGGATGATCCGAAGAAATGTCATCGCACTTTTGATTCTGAGCAGAGGGGTCGGCTTCCCTGCTTTGGTGGCCCGACTACTTGAACGCGAAGTTGAGCTCTTTACAGTAGAACAGTTTAACAAGGTACTTTCCTTTAGAACTATGTTTAACGTAGTTTTCAGTTCCATGTAGTTTTAAAAATTAAAAGATTTTAATCTACATGAAAATCAAGACAGAAACTAACTTCCTTCCTTCTTGTATGACTCTCCTCACGCTAATATTGAAAGCAAGCGAAGTGTTGCCATAGGTAGATAGTTCTATTTTTAGTAACTCGCTAATTTCAACTGCCTTATTTCTTCCTCAGGGATGTTTCCCAGACCGTCGCCAATAGCCCATTGTGCAGCTCTAGTGCGACGTGAATGAAGAAACAAATAAACGGCCTTATTTCTCTGTGGCTGTGCTGCACTGCAACCTCCTGCTATCTATTAAGCCTCAACCCTAAACTACATTAATGGGAAAATAGAGCTATAAGCTAATGCAAAGATATCGAGGCAATCTATATCAATTCAGCTAGTAGTGTTTAGATTGAAGCATATTGAAGGTAAAAGTACTAAATTATAGTTATACGGATAGTTGAAATTATAAGTAAATTGTGTGTGTTCGAATTGGACTTTTAATTTTTACGGTAGATTTTCTTGTACATGCTCTTAAAATATCATTATTAATAGCTATATATTTACTAGTTTTTCCAAATACAGTAGTGTCGACATGAAAGTATTTTAGTTACTCTCTAAGATTTCTAATTTTTGCTCTGTAGATTACCATTGATTTGATTACTTTTAGGGCAAGTATTGCTTTTCATCTCTTGTTTTAGAAGACGCAGCTCTCCTTCTTGATATTTATTTACCTAGATAAGCAACTAAGTAACCTATCCATGCGTATTTGTATTGTATGAAGGTCGGTTGATAATAGAGCTACGGTTTTTTTTTTTCTCTCGTTCGTCTTTAAATGGCAATAAAAAAATTGAACTAAATTTAAAACTTTCTATATAATATACAATTCACTATTTCAAAAACTAGGGTCATTAAGCCAACAACAAGAAATAGGGGGGTAGACTATACTTGAGGGTGGCCCCGCCAAGTTGCGATCGCGATTGATCGCCAAGCTGAGCGATGTTGAAAACCAATCGTGATTCCGATTGGTTTAGATTTTAATCGCGATTCTGATTAGTTTAGAATTTAGCGTTGTTTTTAAATGAAATTTCAGAGATCGTTAGTTCTACTTTGGATACCGGCTGGTAAGGTTATTTTTGCTTCTGGTACTAAAACTGAATACTGTCATTAAGATAAATCTTAAGCTTCTGTACGATTTTAATAACAATGAAAATAAAACAGTGATTGACTGGTGTATGAATGAAGGTTTAATTAGTAATAGATATAAATGTCCTGTTTGTGGTTTACCACGGCGTTCCGGGCAAACAAGTATGGCGCCAAACATAAGTCGCCAAGGGGCACCCTCAAGTATATTTTTCCCGAAATAGGGACCTAAAGTCAAGAATTTAGACTGTTTAGAACAAAAGTAATAGGAACGTATATTTAATAATAGGGACGTATTAGAGAGGTTTCAAAAAGGAAATGTTAAAGCTCTCTCAAAATGGAGATGTTTATATTTTAAATTTAGATGCAATAAAGTTATCAATTTTTTTTAAATTCTAAATTTTATTACACAAATATTGAGTAGAAAAATTTTAATGTTGGGATCTGCCTCATAATCTATAAAATGTGAGAGGCTAAAGCGCCCCCCCCCCCAGTTCCATTGTCTCTAAATAGTTTTTTTTTTATCATATGCTCATTTTTGTCTTTACCCTGTGTACCCATCTGCCACTGATCAAGCCACATTGGTAAATCTTTGATTTTACAAATGAAACCTAGGTTTTGACAGACTTTAACCTTTTACAGTGAAATACTCAAATTTTTGGAGAAAAAAATGCTGACAATACTGTGCAGGGTTCCCACGGGTCAGGGAAAACTTGGAATTGTCAGGGAATTTTTTTTCAACTCCAAAAATCAGGGAAAGTTGCAATTTTTTTTACAAAAACCTGGAAAATTCCTTCATTATACCTGGAAAAAAAAAACCAGTCTTAAAATTGTCAGTAACAGTACTCACTTGTTGAGATTCGAGTTAAATAATTCTAACATCATTACAATTTTTACAATTATTTATTGTAAAAATTTTATATTTTAGACAAACTGAAATGCTTCCTTCCTCATATAATGATATTTATTTTGCATAGAGAATCTAATACAGTTGAACCTGTTTATCTCGAATCTCACGGGAAAGGCGAAAAATTCGAGATAAAGAGGTTTCAAGTTATAAAGGTTCTATAAAAAATTTTAATTTAATTAAGAAACTCGACTAAAAGTGCTTTGTTTTTAGTAGAAAAATATAGACATTTCTTTAAAATAATTATACCACATACACCAATTTACATAAGTTTTTTAACTTACATTTAACAATGAAAATAATTTTCCAAGATTTTTGACTAATAGCCTTATTTGTTTCTATTGTTCTTTTGAGGTTAGAAAGATTGCAAATTCCTCATAGACCGTTTTCTATAATTCACTTTAAAACTCTTAATTATCCTTTGATCCATTGGTTGCAATTTTGAGGTCGAAATGAATTTCTATTCTTAGCTTTCTTATCTATGTTGAAAAGCTAACCCCTTATGGTCACTACTCATTAACCCCTCACTTACTGCCAGAATCATTGTATTCCTTTCTAGTTAAGGAAGTGCAGGGATAGTGCTTGAAATTCAAAGAAACACCCCCAACCTGTTCATCCCTACTTCTTGTGGATTCACGAAATTCATCTCTGTGATAAGGCTCTACTTATAAGGAAAGTTTTGACATTTGTGCTCTATTATTAGAAATTCGAGAAACGGAGGTTTCGAAAAACAATTTCGACATAAACGTGCAAAATGCATTGATTTTAGGCATGAAACGTAGGAAATTTTAAAAATTTCGAGATATAGAGGTTTTCGAGATAAACAGGTTCAACTGAACTTGGCATTACAAATAAAGGAATCAAAATTTTCTGATGATAAATTTCATAGCATAGATAAAATATGATATTGATTTTCATTTAAATTTACCTGTTGTACCTGGAAAAATTGAGGAATTTTTTTTTCTGAAATTGAGTGGGAACCCTGACTGTGTGTAAGAATGATAAAATTAGTTTGTGGTATTTCAGTAAATTAATCAAAAAGAATTTGCATTGTACAAACATATATACCTGATGATTTTGTGAGCTTTCCTTTATATTATAAATCCCAACTTTCTCTTGCAATGCATTAAAAAAAAATAATTTATTTCAATTTTACTATTGAAATTTTTTGAATGATTGTTTTGATTCCCAAACAATTTCAATTTTTTTTAAAGACCACTAAGGACTTAGCATTGCATAATTATTATCATTTATTATTTTTTAGGTGGCATTAAAGTAAATTGGACTGAATTTATAAAGTTGTAAGAGATATCAATACAATCTCTTAATCTGCACCAGAAACAACTGTAGCACCTATAATCACAACCTGTGTGGCTGAGTCTTTGCAAATGTTCATACTATGCTTTATTTGGTAATTTTTGTTAACATCTATGTTCCAATTTTAAGAATTTGCTAATGTTTCAATCCCTTATGACAAACTTTATTGCTTACAGCTTATTAAATTTCAATTTTAAGCACAGACATTTAGAAGATAATTTAAACTAAATTAATTAAGCTCTTACTTGTGCTACTATCATCTATGTTTTTTTTAACATTGCACTGTAAGTGTATTCTCTTTGCATCTTTGTTTTTTCTTTGTAGTCGAAAGAAATTATTTATTGATAGAACACAAGTTTTGATATTATTCAAAACTAGCTTTCTGTGCAGGTTTTTCTTTTTATATTAAAGTTTCTTTAAAATCAATGTAGAATTTTTTTTTTATTTTTTTTTTGCAAATTTTCTATTGAAGTGTGGTGCGAGCTTTGTTATACAGTTGTTTTTCCATTTTTATGTCATTCAATCAGGGTTGGCGTTTTGCCGGCAGAAACTGGTTTTTGCGATGCCAGTGGCAGAAACTGGTTTATAACCGGCAGAAACTAAGAAAACTTCTATATTAGTTCTAGTAATTGCTTAATGACATTTTGTTTAAGTAAACTGAAAAATTTAACTCCATGTAACTGTAGCAAACTTTTTAATTCATTGTTTGTAAATATACATTATTTTGTTTATATTAAATATAAGGAGTGCAGTATATCAAATATTTATATAAAATGAAGAATAAAGTAATGTAATAATAAATATAAATGCTAGATTTTAGTTTATTATATTAAATTCTGAAATTCAGTTATTATCATTTAACTCTTAACATAACTGAGCAGAGTTATTTTCAAATAGTTTTTTTCTCTTCAAGACATAATTTGCATGGCAACAATCCAATTATTATAACAGTAACAGTTAGAATCTTTTGTGGATGGCAATGTCTGCTGGATTTGAGGAAATCTTCTCAAATTTCTCGTTCGTGCATAGCGAATTGAAAAATTGTTTAGGTTTAGAAACTGCATCAAAACTTGTCTTTTGTTATATATTCTTGCTAAATTAATATATAAACTCTATTCTTGCAATATTAAAATATTATAAACTCTATTCTTGCAATAGATGTGACAAACGTTTTCATTAAACAGTAGTCTAACTAAGCACAGCATTGTCAATTGTGGTAGAAAGCCTTTTTCTTGTAGCATATGTTGTAAGGGTTTTTCAAGTAAGCATTATTTAACTAAACGCAACAAAAATGCCCATTCTGTTAAAAAACCTTCAGCATAGGTTCTTGCAAAATTTTCTAAAATATCACGATGTCGTGATTAAAAACTAATAATCTGGCGAGAAAGGTCGAGGAATAGAGACATGCTTGGATTATTTTTAATTAAAGGAACATTTGTAGTTTTATTTTGAGTTTAAAATTATAGCTTTCCCTCAAGTGTAAGGCATATAAACTGTGACCTTTTTTTAAAATTTTTCTTGATGTGAGAACTTACAAAAACAGCCCTTAGATCTCAGCTGTGAATAATTTGATTATAGAATGTGATGGATACGAAATGAAATTTTTGATCTACTGGAAATAAAAGTATTGTTTTTCCTTCTTATGATAAAATTTTTTCTAGTTATTTTAAAATTTTAAATATTATATAATTTTGTGCCAAAATTCATCCAGTTTTGTGAATAGTGTGTAAATTTTGTTTGATACACAAAAAAAAAAAAAAAAATATCCATTATCATGATCCTTTATTTCTTTTAGATTTTACTTCCATACTTACTACATCATTAATTAAATTGTTTCCTTTTATAGGTTTTTAATCGAAGCTACAGAAAATTTCTTCTTAAGTGCAATTATATGTGTTTAAAATATTTTTATAAAACTTTTAGAGATATTACTGTTTGAATCTTCACTTCTGTTTTATGTAACACTTCTGTTTGAATGTGTGCTTCTCTTTTTTTCTTCTTTTTTTTGGCATTAACTGTTTGAGATAGTGCTATTTTGTGTTACAATTTGTTTCAACTTTGTTTCTATCTCCACTTTTGCTTTTAAATTTTAGCATACGATTTCATGTGACGGTAAGAATCCTGTATTTAAAAATTTCATTCATATCTGAAGGCCAATTTATAAATTTAATAAGTATGTTTATATAGACTTTTGATGATAGATGAAGTGAATGCTTTAAAATTGTGTTAAGAATACTGCTATTTTGTGTAACTATTAAAAATACTTATATTAATTGTCATTAGTTTTTAAAACCTGTCTTTCAATAGGGCTCCCATTAAATAGGCATGTCTGATAAAACTTATGACCCTCTAACCAACAGCAGTTCTGTTGAAACTAGTGAAACACCTTGTGATAAAAGTCTTACATCAGTCGCGTCAACTAATCAGAGGTTTAACAATGCAAGTGTTAAAAAACATTCTTGTGATGTGTGTAATAGGATATTTTCCACAAAGAGCAATTTAACTGAACACAGTCTTATCCATACAGGTGGAAAACCTTACTCTTGTAACATATGCAGTAAGAGTTTCTCACGAAAAAGGCTACTAACGAGGCACCAGTCCGTTCACACCGGCGAGAAACCTTATTCTTGTGATATATGTAGCAAAAAGTTTTCTCTTAAAAATGCTTTGACTGAACATTACCTCTCCCATAGTGGCGAGAAAATTTATTCTTGTAATATATGCCAAAAGAGTTTTTCGAGAAAAAGTTATTTAAATAGACACTATCTTGTCCATACTGGTGAAAAACCTTATCCTTGTAGTATATGTAATAAGAATTTTTTAAGAAATGGCGATTTAACTCGGCACATGTTAGTGCATACTGGTGAAAAACCTTACTCTTGTAATGTATGCGAGAAAAAGTTTTCTGATAAGAGTAAGGTAACGAGGCATAACCGTGTTCATACTGGTGAGAAACCTTATTCTTGCGTTCTGTGTAATAAAAGCTATACTCAAAAAAATAATTTAACTGAACACTATCTTGTTCATCACAGTGAAATATAATTTTCTTAGTTTTAATAGTTTTTAATGCAGTGATACTGTCTTTAAGTTCTCTACTTCAGATACTATACCTATTTAATTGGTCAACTTATTAAAAACTGCCGGTATATCACCTATTCTGTTTCACCTACATTAGTTTATTAAAATTTAAAGTTAAGAGAAACGATAGTTCATGTAAATAATTTACTTTCAATCGTGCAAATAGATTACTTTGCGTAATCCTGCCATAATTTGTTAAAAATTTTATACTTTTTTTAGCGTTGGAAACTTTGCAATCTACTCCAGGGTGCGTAGCATTTTTAAAAAGTGATTAAAGGTACTTAGTTTATATTTACGTTTTTTAATAGAACTTAAAGGTGCTTTTTTTTATCCGGGTTTGTAAAAGGTGCTTAGTTTTCCATCTTTTAAAAAGATTTTTTCTTTGCCATGTCAATTGTCATTCTAAATTACAGAAAATGCATGGTTTTCGCAATTTTTTCTGCAATATTTATCAGAAACTAGTTATTGTATCACGTCACGATTATGTACAGTTTTTAAAAATGTTTTTGAATTTATTGATTTTATGTTAATAAATTAAGAACTTTAAACCATGGGAAGGAATTATTTTTATTAATGCACAGATCCTAATTATAATTTTTTTTTAAGTGATTAAAATATTTTTTGAATGCTTAAATGGGACTTATTTTTTGTTGCAAAATCTGGCTATGCACCCTGAATTATATTTTTAGAGAAAGAAAAAAATTATCTAATATGAATTAAAATGATTTTTATGTTAGATTTTTATTATCATAAGAAATTATGAACTATTGTTCTTAACCTCTTGAGAATATGGTAAAATTTTATCAATAAAATAAATATTTCTTTTTCTGTTTATGTACCTTTATAATGCGATTGTCTATGAAAAAATATAATTGCATTTGTTCTCATAGGTAATAGTTTTTAATTAGAATTATAAGAAGAGTAAGATATGAAATTCAAGTAACATTTTGGATAGTTTTATGTCATGTAAATGTGTGTGTGTATGTATATATATATATATTAATAATGGTCATATGCAACTTTAGGTGGTAGCTCAAAGTTCTGAAATTTATAATTTTATTTTTATCAAAATCGTGAATTTTGAATAGTAATTGTTTTATGAAAGCATAATTGTTTTGTTTTTGCGAGTTTTTCTATTTTAAGTCATTTATTCCAACTTAATATCTTTTATTTCAATAACTTATGATTTGAGCCTGATGGATTTTGTCTTCTGACCGAAATGTGATCAAGTACAATATCCTATATGATACAAAAAAGAAAGCAAGAAGTTGAAATTCATAATTTTTTTTAATGTAATAATTAAAAATAACTGAAAAAAAATTATTTTAATTTTTGAGTTTTAATTAAATAATATTTTACTACATTTATGAGTTTACTTTCTAAGTTACATATTGCTATGTGAAAATCAGCCATTATTTAATGAGGTTTCACCAGGATAATATAAGTTAAGTTTTGTTATCTATGGGCTCATTTTATCTATGCAAACAATTTTTTAATATTCTGTTATTCCAGATAAAAATAAATGAATCTTGTTTAGACTGTAAATTTCTGTGTAAAAGAAGTTTTCTAACAAGTGATTTTGTTGAACAAAATTTGTTTAACAAGTTGAATTCTACGTAAAAAAAAAAAGATTTTTTTCACCTGTGCATTGTCTATATTTGTGAAAAGTTTTGCATATTATTTATCTATACATATATTCCAAACACATCATTTGTATTTGTACTCATTCAATAAAAATAATTTAATAAAATATAACCTTGTTCATGTCTGCTCATAAAACACCTGCTATTTTTATAAATATTGTGAGCTTGCTTACCTGAGAACACCGCTTTCACATCCGAGACAGTGCCCATATCGGACTGATACAGCAAAATATGGGGGGAAATTGCAATTACCCAGGGATGGCACCAGACTTTGCCCCACAAGGGGGCTCAAACAAATTATTTAAATTTAAACACATTTTTATACTTTTTTCTCACATCAATTTTTTCAAGTTTGTTTCTAAGAAGTTAGAAACACTAATTTTGATACCATAATATGCAAATTCATTTTAATGTACATTTAAATCGCTTTTTTTCTGCTATTGATGTATTTTGTACTGTGTGGTTCAATTTACCACACATTATGAGCTTCAAAATTACTACCGTAATAAAGAAAAATTGTTGTAGTCACCACTGTTTCCAAAAAAATTCCACGCTTCTTACTCTCGTAACGCAAGAACTATTCAATAATAAAAATTTGAGATTTCATGTACGTTAAACGAAACGCTTGAAGAACATTTTGCCAGGAAAATATTATTTTTGTATGCATCGATTGGCTTTTGAATCATTTAAATTCAATTTTCCCTTCTGTGCCATATAATAATTCAGTTTTGCCGACAAAGCTATAAGAACATTTTAGCAACCACGTATTTTATCTAAAGATATCATGCCCCGTTTTGTACACACTTCGAAATGGTTAGGCCCATTAAATTGTAAAATTCGAATTTTTTTAATTGTTGCATAGTATCATTTTACGGACAAAAAGAGGGATTCTTTTAATCAGGGGACTCGATGTAAATAATATTTAAGTTGTCAATAAATACTAACTTCTAAACCTTAAACCGGAAGAAATTTAGAAACTTTCCAGTGTATCCCTCCGCTTATGTTATGACTACGAGGCGATGTGTGAACAAGCCTAATATTCTATGCAGTTTTGTTATTGTAATTTGATTTCAAATCTATACATAATTGTACCATTCATAAGAGCTTTCAGAAATGTATTGATTCTCAAAGGTCGTAAGGCCAAAAAAAATTTTGGAAAGTTAATATCTCATTGTGAATAATTCTTAATGTTTGCCATGTTTTGTATTTTATCCCTTATTTGGCTACATTTGAATAAAATGTCGCAAAAAATATCTTTAAAAATATCTTTTTAAGTTAGCCTAATTAGAAAATATTCTAATGAGTATAATATTAATATGATAATTCTGAAGTTTAAAGGCTGAAAGAATGAACTCGGTACATGTGAAATATTTCAAAATATATGATGCAATAATATGATGGCGCGTTTTTTCAATCTGCGGCGTAAAAATATATCGGAAGTAGTAACCCGGAAGTCTTGAAAGAGCAATTTCACCACTAGCGCCACTACCCTTAGCTTTACACGATCACCCATCCATATCTATGTTCGTTAAAATGCTAATTTTTTCATTTGAGAAAAGAGCTTAAAGTATAAACTTCATACAATATAGTTAAAATTTTTATTGATTTTTCAATTTGCAAATTTTAAATTTGCGTCCGTGAAACGAATATTAGCTAACTTTGATTTAAAAAATTTTTTTGCCACATAAGATGACTGCTGCTTGTCTGCTCCTACACAGCTGAAAGCAGGCTTTCCACCAAGATTTCTGCTTCGTTTTGCATGTTGGCATGCTCCTGCAATGAATAACGTTTCGCGCAGCAAATTAATTATTGTTCACTGCATCAACACGAAACATTCTTTCCTCTGCGATTCACTTTTGCTTTAATAATTATGAGTCCCGCACTGGACTGATCGTTAAGACACGGTTCCCAGCAGATCACCGAAGTCTAGCATCACTGGCTGCGATCAGTGTGCGGGTGGGTGACCACTTGGATCAGTCTGTGTAGGGACCGAGGGTGTGCGGTATTGGTCCTCGTTAAACTGTTCTACCGTAAAGTGCTCGACTTCGCGTGCAGATCGTCGGGCTACCGAAGCGGGGTTGCCATCCCCTCTGCAGAGGATCAAAATTGTGATGGCATGTCTTCGGATCATCCTCAGGGATGCTTCCCAGACCGTTGCCAATAGCCCATTGTGCAGCTCTAGTGCGACGTAAATGGGCTATTACTACTTTTTAATTATGAATTTTAAGTCACAAGAAATTAAGGAGGTAGGAGATCAAAATTTAAAAACATACGAGTTTTTTCATTTTTCGGGAACTATTTGACTGATTTTGCTCAAATTTTGTGTTTCTGCACTTAAAATTGCATTCTTTCAAATAATGAAAAAATTGTATACCTTTCATTTCTAAAGTATTTCGAAAGTCATTAAATAAAATAATATTATCTGGGTAAGTAGAGTTTTTAAAATCCCTTAAGGATGTTTTTTTTTATTCGGGATTTGTAAGTGCTTATTTTTTTAAATAGAGATTTTTTTCTTTGCCGTGTCGATTGACGGTGTAAAAAATTACAAAAAATGCCTGATTTTCATAATTTCCTCTGCAATATTTATCAGAAACTAGTTATTATATCACGATTATGTAAAGTTTTTGAATTTTATTGATTTTATGCATATGAATTAAGAACTTTAAACGGTAGGAAAAAAATAATTTTTACTAATGCGCGGCGCCTAATTATGATTTGAGGGGGTGGGGTGATCAAAATTTTTTTTGAGTGCTTAAAAAGTACTTAATAGGTGCTTATTTTTTGTTGAAAAATCTGTCTACGCACCCTGAATTAAATATTTACTAAAAGGTGCATTTTGCATCAAATTATCTTTAGAAAAACGAATTTTATAATTGTAAGCAAAACCTTTTCAATAGGCTTAGAAGTATTTTTGGGATATAGTGAAATAAACTAAAGTTAACATTGAAGGGTCCAAACTTTAAATCGCGCTGCTGAACAAACTATTAAAACAATATTTGCAGATTCAAATCTCCAAATATTGAAGATATGTTTAATCAGAGAAAGTACGTTTTTGTGTCTTATTTCCTAACTTAAAATATCGTTTGCACTAATTAATTAGTATATTTGTCGTCGCCTTCTCTAACAATTAAGAATGAGTCCTAGAACATGTGAAGATCCGATGCTTAAATCAAAAGTTATTCCGGAGGGTCCATTTATTTTCTTGTGCACTGTGCATTCATTTAAGGTACATGTCAATCTTGCATAAGATTTTTTCATTCTTATATAGTAAGATAACTTAGCTAGTGGCGATCCAAACATATATGGTTTGATGACTTAAAGGATTTTGATTGTAAAGGACTGTGTGCGGGTGGGTGATCCCTTGGACCAGTCTGCGTAGGGACCGAGGGTGTGCGGTATAGGTCCTCGTTAAACTGTTCTATAGTAAAGTGCTCGACTTCACGTGCAGGTTGTTGGACTACCGAAGCGGGGGTTCCATCTGCTCTGCAGAGTTTCAAAATTGTGATGGCATGTCTTCGGATCATCCTCACGGATGTTTCCCAGACCATCGCCAATGGCCCATTGTGCAGCTTTAGTGCGACGTAAATGAATTACAACTACAAGTGATAATTTAAGGATTATGATAATTTAAAAAGTCAGAAATACGAAGAATATTTTAAGATATGTGTGTTAGCAAGACAGCACTTCTTCAGGGGACACACAAGAGCCCTTCTGTTGTCAGCAGAAAGGCTCCTGTGTGTTGGCAGGCAGTTAATTAAATTTTACTTTTGTTAACTAGAGGGAAGACATATTCGCAATTCATATAAACTATAGGCGGCGCTGCAGTCTCGGGCAAATGGCGTCAGAGAGAGGCAATACAATCTGATGTTGTATCTATTGTTGTTGTTAATTTACGTCGCACTAGAGCTGCACAATGGGCTATTGGCGACGGTCTGGGAAGCATCCCGGAGGATGATCCGAAGACATGCCATCGCAATTTTGATCCTCTGCGGAGGAGATGGCACCCCCGCTTCAGTAGCCCGACGACNTTCTGTTGTCAGCAGAAAGGCGCCTGTGTGTTGGCAGGCAGTTAATTAAATTTTACTTTTGTTAACTTGAGGGAAGACATATTCTCAATTCATGTAAACTATAGGCGGTGCTGCAGTCTCGGGCAAATGTCGTCAGAAAGAGGCAATACACTGTAGTGTATGTGTTGTAGTTCATTTACGTCGCACTAGAGCTGCCCAATGGGCTATTGGCAACGGTCTGGGAAGCATCCCGGAGGAAGATCCGAAGACATGCCATCGCAATTTCGATCCTCTGCGGAGGGGAGGGCACCCCCGCTTCGGTAGCCCGACGACCTGCGCACAAAGTCGAGCACTTTTCTTTCTGTAGATGATGATGATGATGGGGAATCAGTGTCAAAGAAATAGTCCGCCAGAAACTTACTAGCTACGATGTGAACTTCGCGTAATTCGCTATTTATAATATTTTGAAATAAAATAAATTTTTAAAAAGATGAACAGTGCTAAATATGTTTGTACTTATGAAAACTGCTCTGCTACATTTCATCGTTCTGAGCGTTATGAAACCCACTTGCGAAAGCATACTGGAGAGGTAGCTAAAGATAATCTTAATTTATATATTTTAATTGCGTATCATGTTTCAGAAACGCATGTTACCAACATTTTACCCAATAAAACATCAATATAAACAGTTAGTGAACGATTGAAAAATTTCTGCTGTTTTTTATATTTTACTAATCACATGGATGTAAAATGCATTCAATCACAACATTTATATAAATTGAGTAATTTCTATGAAAAAAAAAAAAAATAAATAAATAATGCAAAGTGGTGTGAAAGAAAGGTCATAAAGGGGAAAAATTTGTTTCGAATTTTTTTCATTTTATTTAAGTCTCCACATAATATATATATGTAGTTGGTTTAGTCCTCAGAATGCTTGAAAATTTATTTTTTATATAATTAAATCATTATTACAAATCCAACAATGAAAAAAAAGTACATGTTTTACTCAAAATTTTAAAACACAAAATACATTTATAAATTTTTTAAACTGGCATAAAAAATGTATTAGAAAATGCATTTTTTTTTCGTAGGAAATACAAAGGAAAAAAATTCAATAAAAAGTCATAAATACTGCAGAAAATCATAAAATTAAAGATAGTTTTCTTATAAACACACACAAAAAAAAAAGGCATTTATGTAGTTTTCAAAATGTAGGGAATGATTGAGATTTTGCATAGATTGTAGTGTATCTACCACTACAAAAATACTATTCCAATCAACTAGTATGTAAGACATGTTAACTCGATTCTATGTTGGGGTTCCTTTTCAAAGATGAAGGTTGACTTTGTCGATAACTACTTTCTCCACTCAGATTTTACTTTAAACATATCAAAAATTGTGTATTATCAAAAAATGTCAGTTGTTTTTATATTAAAATACCTGTTTTTCCTTAAAAAATGTAACAAATATATTTTATTAAGTAAAAATAAAAATTACATTTTAATGTAAACATTGTTAACTTTCATAATAATGCTAAAAATGATCAAGTAATGATGCAGCTCAGTAATGAAAGAATAAGATTGGATTTTNCATGAGTGAGTTGGAGTTTTGTTCTGTTTTTCCCTGGGCATGCTCAGCTAGCAGCAGCTTGCTATCACTTGGTGCCACTCTTCAGTTAGTCCTGGGTACTGAAATCAGTCTTGATTGAAAATCAATAAAGTTTTATACAATAATATCTTTTTTCATTTGTTTTTATATTAAAATACCTGTTTTTCCTTAAAAAATGTAACAAATATTTTTTTTAAGTAAAAATAAAAATTACATTTTAATGTAAACATTGTTAACTTTCATAATAATGCTAAAAATGATCAAGTAATGATGCAGCTCAGTAATGAAAGAATAAGATTGGATTTTATTGCCTGATTGCTTAAACAAAATTAGTACTTTTATTGTATATAAATTTTCTTGTTTTTATTTTTCCCCAATGTTTTAAAATGCTGGCCAAAGTTAAATTTAGATTAATATTTTTTTTTTAAAAATAATTTTTTCTATAAAGATAGAACAAAAAATATTGGTGAAGTGAAACATAAGTAGGGATTTTGTATAACTTCATGAACAGACAGGGGTCTGTTTAAAAGAACGAACCCTTCACAAAATATCTTTTCCTAAAAATGGACCCTTCACAAATTTGTTTATCTTCATTATTGTTTTGTTAATCGATTAAACCCTTCCTTGGGAGGAGAAAAGAAAGACGGTTCGATAAAAACTAAACTTCGCTTAGTTTAAATTCCAAATGTGGCATTCTAAGAAAATATTTCTACTTTTATAAACATCGTGTGTGCATTCTTATTAATATTAAATCATAATTTTTTTTTGTAAATAAATCAATTTATACTTATTTATAAAATTAATTAATAGAATATTATGTATATAAAAATTAATTTCTGTCAATTTTTTGAATATAATATAAATTTAAGAATTGTTTAAGTTTACTTAATGCGTGACACATTAAAAGTGATACATTACTAAGTTGTGTTATTTAAAATATGTCAATTGAACTTATTAAAAATGTGAGTGATTTTGTTTCCATTATTCGTCCAAAATGAATATTCTGTGTCAAGCAGTATAGGCTAAATACCAAATAACAGGACCCTATTTGCACAAATTTACAAAAGCAGGACCCTGGTAAAAAAAAAATGTAACTGAACGCTTATTTTATATTCACAAATTATGAATAGTTTTTTTCCACAATTTTACTAAAACAGGACCTTTTACAAAATGTCTGGACAGACCCCTGACAGAGATTGTATACTAACACATTAGTGTAAAGTGTATCTTTCTGTGAAGTAGAATAATCATTGCTTATTCCAGTGAAATTTAAATGATATTCATATTTTATGACCCTAACACAGACAGGTTTAATTGTTTATTGATCATAAAGTAGAGTTTATTTAATCAAAACACTACACTATGCATTAAAAAGTAAAATTTCTCAAAAATGTATAATTTAAGATTGAATAAAGCACTTCCCTTTTAATCAAATCAAATAACCCGCTTAATTGAATCAATTTCACTGGAACCAATGGGCTTTAAGCAGGGTTGACTGTATATAGTTATGGTTTAAATAGGTCATATGTGTCATTAATTTTGGTGTATTTTTGTACCAACGTAATAATATTTAAATCAGTGTATATTTTTATAGCGACCATTTATATGTGATTTTGAGGGTTGTGATAAAACATATGCAAGATCATCCCATCTTAAACGACACCAAGAAACTCATGATAAAATGTTCAGGTAATTATTCTCTTATTTTTTATTATACCTCCCTTGTTCCATTTATTTAGAGTAGCCAGGAAATTTCCACATTAATCTAATAATGCAAAACTTCTCTGGGAAAAATGTTTGTGCTAGAAAACTAAACACATGGTGTGTAGCGTTTTTAAAAAGTGCTTAGCTTTTCCCTTTTCGAAAATGAGACTTTTTTTTCTTTACCATGTCGATTTCCTCTGTGTATTATGCAAAAGTGTGGTTTTCACATTGTTCTATTCAAAGTTTTCACAATTCATTCAACCACAATCCATTTCGGTGTGCTGCTGGTCCATAACGTATGATAGCATCATTCATGTTACATGTTTGATGAAATGCTTGGAAGTGACTACAGAGCTGGGTTTGGTGAGATTATTTCACTCTCATGTGAACTCGGCTGCATTTTGCAAGATATTCTCAATTTCAAGCTTTGCTTTTCACCCTCTGAAATCAAAACGAAAAATCTCTCGATATTTTTATGGTGGCTAATATAAGAGTTCTTTGTCAGAAACTATTTATTTTATCCTGATCATGTAAAGTCTTTGAAAATTATTTTGCATTTTGTTAATGTATATTATTGTGCTTAAAAATATTTTTTGAGTGCTCAAAACGTTTTTTAAAGGTGCTTATTTTTTGTTGAAAGATTTGGTTTTGCACCTTGAAACAATCTGAATAAAATGCAGAATATGGACACTATAGTATATGTTATGTAAACAAGAACCTACCTTAAGCGTGGACACACATGTGTGAAACATTTTGTGTTTCAACACTTAAGATTCTTGTTTATGAAACAGAGACTATGGTATGTTTTTGTTTTGTGCCATTATTTAAGTTTTATTCTCATTGTTTAACTTTACTTCTTAAATTTTTGTACTTACATTGTACCTAACTGATTTATTTATTGATTTTTTTTATCTTCCCTTTACAATTTAGATGTACTTTACCTGGTTGTAGTCTTATTTTAAAAACGAAAGCCACATTAATGAAACACCAAGATGTCTTCCACCCCAAAAAAGAAGCTCGGAAATTCAAAGTAAGAGCTCTCTAGTTTTGTTTAGAATGTAATTATTTAAAAGGCAAGTGAAGTGAAATTATTAAATCTAATTAGATACATCAAATTGAATAATATTGAATAGTTATGTCTCTTATTGACTGAAATACATGCCAATTGGAGACCAAGCAGAAGAATGGTTTCACGAAAGTGGATTCGATGAAAAAACGATTTTGCGTTCAAACAGAAAGTTTTTTTCACAGTGAAGCCAATCTTCCCGGAGTAATAACTCTCGAAAGGAAAATATTTTTAAGGTTATTGATTTGTCATAATTTAGTAATCCTCAAAATGCAACTGCTGTCGCCAATCATAATTTTTTTAAAAAAATAATCTAAACCATCCTTCCCCTATCTTTTAAAAAGATTTGTTTTCTTTGTCGTTTGTCGTTCTAAATTACAAAAAAATGTTATGTATATAATATAACCTATCATATAACTGTCTGTTATATATATCAGAAACTATATATTTTATCATGTTTTTCATGTAAATTGTTTGAATTTTATTGATTTTATGTTTATAAATTAAGAAAATTTTTTTTTATCACTGCACAGATCTTTATTATTATTTTTTTTTTGGAAAGTAATTAAAAATACTTTTTAAGTGCTTAGAAGTACTTAAAAGGTACTTATTTTTTTGTTGAAAAATCTGGCTACGCATTCTGCCTTTGGTCTTCACTTATAATAAGTTAATCAAATTAAATTATTCAAGTCATTAAAATTTTTTTTCTTTTCAATAACATCTGATGCAATATAGATTATTTGAAAGTGATTTGTAATTGTGAAAATGAAAAAAAAAATGATTTTAATTAATTGTGAATTATATAAGTGTAGCAACCATGAAGAACAGATTTTTAATGTTATGAAATTTGTTTGAAGCCTCAGTTATGCCAGTTAAAGGTTTTTGATGTTTTGATTATAGATGTTTTCATACTCAGATAAAATAAAATACTTTCTGCGAACATCGAATTGCAATAAAACCACTTTTTGCCAGCAAAATTTTAATTAGCTCTTAAAACTAGTTTTAACTAGTGAAACTAGTTAATGTTGACACTTATTTTGGTGAGGTCTGTTAAAAAATCACTGATTTTTAAAAAGTTTTAATTTTAAAGAACCTGGGTGGCCCACCAGGCCAGAAAAATAAATCAAGACCTGTAAGCAAATTTTCATGACATTTTCATCTCTTCCTTTTGGTTTCATTTTTTATAGATTTTATTCAATTTATGTAATTGCTATTGAATGCATTTTACATGCAGGTGATTATTTTAAATATAAAAACAGCAAAAATTTTTCACTCTTCCATTAACCAGATATATTTCTATTTCATTAGGTAAAATGTTAGTAAAATATTTTTGAAACATTACAGGCTAGACAGATGGAATAATACTGTGTGTTACAAATAGACACATGGAATAATACTGTGTTAAGAAAAATGAAGTATTGTTATTTCTCTATGCAATTTGACATTCTTGCACAGGATAATTTTGCAGTAAAAATTCAACTTTGCAGTAAAAGTTCAACTAAGTCAAAAAAACAAAGTCAGCTCTCATCATCTCTTTAGCCTTCACTTTCTTTCTATTGCACACGATTTTTCATTAGAAGTTACTGCTTTTCCCTTTAAGAAGAAATTTGATGTTTTTAAGTGTTTCATTTGATTTCAGAAACGAGCTGAAAGATTTTTAAACACTAAAATTGTAAATGATGAAAATGATGATGGTATGGGATTTTGTCACAAAGAATTTAGTGATTTTCTTGAAAATGAAGGCATAAAAGCTGAGTGTACTAACACTTACATGACGGGACAAAATGGTGTTAGTGAATAGTATAATTTGACTGCCATAGACAATATTAAAGCAATGTTAAAATTTAGTAAATTAGATAATACATTTTGGGCTGTGGCTTTACTATGCTTTACTTACACTTTCATTAGTGTTTGTCATAGAACTCAAATTAAATCACTTTTTGCGTTGTATAGTGGACGGAATTCACTTATTCATTTTATTTCATAACAGTCGTTGAACAGCTGACGCAATGTAGGGTTCAATTCGTAGCCTTGTAATTTTGAACCCAATCCAGAAGACAAGGGGACTCCTGGATCAAGTATTGGGAGAAATTCGCCTTTGTGGAGGACTTTTTGATGCAACTAACATGCAATGTAAAATTCATAATTTATTATTATATATACCAGAATGCCTAAAAGGCTAATACAATGATGTTAGCAAGGGAAAATTAAGATCAAATTTTTTATCAGTATCACAACTTTTATTTGCCGTATATTGATTGCAGTAGAACCTTGTTAACGTGAAATCGGCAGGACTATTATAATTATTTCATGTTAACCAAACTTTTTTTTATCCGACACATCATAAAAACAATTTATTACGTATTATTGATACATCTTATGTACTGCATTAATGTATGCAAATAATTCTATTATGAACCAAACAAATTAAAATAAGCTTAATTGTTTTAACTACTTTATTAAACTATTTTATTTTTATTATTTTAATTATTTGCCCATCTGCTATTTCTAACAAGGGAGGAAAATAGAAATAGAAAACCTCAAAATGAATTATTGGGATTTTATTCACATGTTTTATTATTATCTGTGCAGTTTCCTCTCATGTTAGGCGATAATCAGCTTGAAAATTTCTTGTTAAACATGTAAAATACTGTAATAATTGATTTTCAACTCACTGGACAAAATATGTGTTTCATGTAAAGCGATATTCGCGGTTTTGCGTTAATGAGGTTCAACTGTATTAATATTATGTGTGAAATAATTTATAGTGAAATGTGCATTCTTTTATTAGTGTTCTGAATGCAGTGAAGAGTTTGTTAAGCGTTCCATGCTTGTAAGGCACAAATATACACACTCTGGAGTTAAAGAATTTAAGTAAGTAATTAGGTAATATTTTATAACAATATGCACTCAAACTCACTTATAACAAGCTCTGATTTAATGAGAGTTTAGTTTTAACGAACAAATGAAAAATAATTTGTTGGCATATTGAGTCTATTGAAGCATAGCTCACTTTTAACTAGCAAACCCCAGTTTTAGCAATTAATGTTTTGTGATTTATCAAATTTGTATGCGAATCTACTTCTCCAGCTTAGGTAATTCCTATTTGGAAAAATTTGTTTCCAAAAACAACTGAAAGTCTGTGTAAGTCTGAATTCAGCAAATGTGTGAACTATTTACGAAAGTAAGGGTGCACATTGCTATATTTTTCAGACCATAAGTCTTACCCTAAGTCTTCATGCTCGTTATAAGTGATTTCAACTGTATTTTTTGATACAGTAGTAGACCCATTGACCAGATTAAACTTTGTTTTACATCTGAATTTTACTTTTGCTAGTTAAAGATCCAGTTTCCAGATCAGGGGTCTGTCCAGGCCGAATTTACTACCTTTTAGCGGTACCTTCACAAAATCAATTTTAGAAAAAACGGCAGTTTCACAAATTCAACTTTAGGATAAACGGTAGTTTCACAAAATACTTTTTCTTAAAATTTTATTTTCGTATTCCTTTAGAAACGATAAATCTATATTTTTACCATTTTTTTTGTGCTGATTTTTCAATATAATTTTTAATTTTTCACAAATTATGTCTAAATTTTCACAAAATAGGTACTTCTCAGAAAAACTTTGACAGACCCCTGCAGATCTAAAAATCATTTTTATTATTTTATTGCTTTGCTTTGTTGTATGGTTGACTTAATCTGCATTTTTATTGTTGTAATTATTTAGTGTGTATAGTATTGGATATTTATTTTTTTATTGTTCCTCTTATAAAAAATAATTATATCCTTAGTCCCTAAGAAAAATTTCTTTTTATTTTAATATTTAATTTTTGATTTATTTTTAAATTTACATTATTTCTGTTGCTAAAATGTGGATAACATCAAGATTAAAAGAACTTATTTTTTAATTTTACCATTAATCTTTTGGCAAGAATTGTTACATATTCTATCTTGGCTTTTTAAATGTATGTTTCACCTGTGATAAATTAAAACTCAAGATTAATAATTTAACTTTTAATAAAAACTAATTACTTAAATTAGAGACACGCAGGATGAAAAATAGCAAATGGAGAAAGCTTTTGCTGGAATGAAATGTATGCAATTGATTCCACCACAACCCTATGTAATGGAAATCACTCTGAAACATTGGAAAATTATAATTTATTATGAAACTAAGAATAGACAATTATTTACGCATTTAATGTATTTGCATTTACTCTGTATATTTAATATATTTTGTTGTTACCTACTTCTTTTTTTTTGTTTTGAAAAAAGAAATCTAAATTTTGAAGACGGTGGAAATCTGTAAGATTAACTGTTAAAAATGCAATGTATAAAACCAAGTAGACAAAAAAAAAAAAGAATCACCGCAAATCGAGTCCATCAAAAAGTGATTCTTCAAATATACGATTTGAGGTCAAAAAGTGATTACTCAAAAGCAAACTTCAAAATTTGTTGTAAGTATCTTATTAAAACTTCAATACTTTGAAAACCATGTGGAAATTTGTAGCTATAGATTCCTAAGTAGCAATTGACAAAAAAAAAAAATGAAAAAAAAATGTGAGTTTATAGTGGAATTGGTACTAATCGGAAAGTGATTACACTTAAATGCATGATTCAAAACTCATGGTATGCTATAATGTTGCATTATAACATTAAGATTTTAAGACCCATGTGTAAATCTGTTGGAATAACTGCCAAAAATGCCATTATGAAAAAAATGGTTAAAGTTAAGAATTTATCAGAAAACTAATGAAAATTGACTTAGCTCAAGAACATATAATGCATCCTGATCATTTCAGTAAAATTAGACAATTTAAAAAAATAATAATAAAATTTAAAATAAAATTCATTTTAAGATAGTCAAAAGATACATTTGCTTAAAAATCCTAAATTTCAAATTTTAATATTTTTTCAGCTTTTTTTTTGAAATTGTGTTATTCATGTAATAAATTTTTTATTCATGTAAAAAATTAAGACCAAAACTTTATTTAAAGTTTATATAATTTTTTTTTTTATCCTTCGAATAGCACAATATATATATATTTTCTTTAGTATTTCTCAAGGTCTAAAAAATATTGTAACATGTTATATGTTAAGTCCTTTAAATTTTTGACATCTTGGATACTCCTTGAATTTTTTCTTCTCATCTGTATGAACCCTGTTGTAGAAATCTTATAGATCATTATTTCTAACGAATTGTGAAGTTCTAGTTTCCACAACTTGCATTATCTTCCTTATCTTTGATCATTGATTTCCGTAGTAAATAAAAGTGATTTCATTTATTTAATTTTTGTTGTTAAAATTTTTCTAGTTTCAGTCATTAAGAAATTAGGAAAACTTTCAGAATAATTATTTATTGATGGTTGTAAATTTATGCTATTATGTGTTCTACTCATAAAAATGTTCTTTTTAGATTTTTACTCCAATAAGATTGTCTTGTCAAATAACAATTTGTAGCTATTATTTTACCACAAGGGTTTAATAACATAGTTAACAGGGTTATATGCATAAATGGAAAGTATCGGCAGATTGTAGTTATTTAAATGAATACTTGTTTTAAACATATTTATTAAAAGAAATTATGAATGTTGAAAAGTCATATATTTTTAGAGAGTTAATGAGAAAGAGTTACTGAAAGCACCATCTGCTGATACGCTTGGTCATTTAAAGTTGGCCCACATAATTTTGAAGTTGTACCTGGTTTTAATTATGTTGGAACTTTCACTAATGTAAAAATGGCTCAATTTCTGAAATCCAAATTGGGCCTTGTTAGCTAAACAAAATACTCTTTGAATATCTTTTTTGAGGTTTCGTTAACTTTCCACCAAGCAATGCTTTTGTCTTTCAAACAAATTTTTTAAAAATACATTTGTTAGAAAGCTATAATCAGAACTTGTCCAATTGTCTTTCTGACTTTTATATTTATTTATATAAGTTATTTGTATGTTGTGATGGACAAAATTCTTTTAATTGTAATTTATAAAAGCATTAATGTAGAAACTTTGCAACCACTAGGAAAAATATTCTATATGAAACTATTAAAATTCTGTATTAAATGAAGCGTATGTGTTTATTGAACTCTCATTACTGAAAATTGGGTCTTTCAGAATCTTTTAACTAAAAGCCATTTTATAAAATAAAGGTTTATCATAGCTGTGAGCATAAGATGATCTTGCTATGATGCTTATCACTGAATTGTTGCAGCAATTTGCTGTAAAGTCTTTATTGTAGATTACTTAACTAATCCAAAAAGTTGGCCAAAACTGTGAAAGCTCTATTCTCAGGGTTGCTACTCGACAGGGAAAACCTGGAAAACAGAGGGAATTAAATAATTTAAAATAACCGTGAGTTTTGAATTTTTCCTTAAGTGGGAAATTTATTCCTTACTTTTATCATGCATTTAAAAGAAAAAAATTGAAATTAATTTTGACTTACTAAAATATTCTGATTAAAATAATCAACGTCCTTTCATGTTTCACTTGATTTTATGTTTATAACTTTTCAGGTGCTCTGAGCCTGGTTGCAATAAAAGTTTTTCAATGCCTAGCCGGTTGAAGAGTCACGTAAAAAGTCATGTTGGTGAGTAATTACAGTCTCAATAATGAGTCACAAATACTTATATATTTAATAAAACAGTGACATGTTTCATTATCTTTAGAAGTGTTTTTTTTTTAAGACCAGGACAAGTAGAAACCAAAGTTTCTTTTGTTGTTTTAAAAGGTACCTAGAGCAGATATGGTGAGCTTTTTTCCATTAGTATACCAGTTAAATTATGATTTATTATATTAGAAATAAATCATAATTTAACTTGTGATTTACTATGTAAGAAAATTAACAAGTGTGCCACTTGTTAATTTTCTTATTAAAAATAATCCTTAAGCTTTGATTTTAAACATAAGAATTATGGTGTGTAACTGTATTTACAGTTTAATACACTGCTTGACAATTGCTAAGGAACAACTGATTTACGCAAAGTAGTGTTCCCGACACCCCACCAATAACCGTAAAATTAAGCTTAGAGGACGCGGTAGAGCAGGACTCGTTATTCTCGTCAAAGCTCGTTTTTTTTATTTGAAAACCCATTCTGTTTAGGTGTTTAACCATTATATCGCCTTAGGTTGTTGAACTTTTTTTTTTGGAGAAATTCAGGCGGGTGTTGCAATAATTAAGTGCTGAATATCAGCAAGACATCATTTGAGTGCTTACAATCGTAGACATGTAAAATCAGGTTTAAGTGTCACCACTGTGGCACGGTAATGTAAGTGTAAAAATGTGTTATCTCAAAATTAAGAAAGGCCATTGAAACTGGAAAGCATGCCGGTGATCGTGTTATGAACACCATGACTCGTGGTATGAACACCACAACATGAAAAAAGAACCACGGTGCTTTTTTCATTGGATTGTTTTAAAAAGTGCCTAATTTTCCTTCTCCAAAAATTGGATTTTTTTCTCTTTCTATGTCAATTTTCGGCACGTATTATGCAAAAGCATGCTTTTCACTTTGTTCTTTTCAACGTTTTGACAATTCATTCAACAATCTATTTCGGCGTACTGTGAGTCCATAGCGTATGAATGTGTCAATCATTTTACATGTCTGATGAAGTTCTTGCGAGTCCGCACCATAGAGTTGATATAGTAGGTAGAGGAACCAAGTTCGCTTTATTCCTTCCGAAAAGACACGCCACAGATGGTAAGCGAAGAGCAACAATCACGTGATAGAAAGGGTGTAATACTTGGCGGAATATCACGAATGTTGGCGCACAAAGGCTTTAACCAGCTGTATTTTGATATTACCGATGTGTTTGAAAGAGAGAAAAAAATATTTTCGTTAGTCACATTTCTTTAGGATTATTCAATTGGTTTTTTTAAACATAAGTTTTTTTTTTCTTAACAAATAATTTTTAATTAAATTACTGCCCTTCTTAGAAAATTTGAGTAGTTCTATTCTTTATTCTTATTACTATTTTTTAAAATTTATTCATTATATAAAATTTTAAAAAAATATTCTGTGCAGCTAATATATATTACTATGTTCAAAAAAATTTTTTTAATAAATAACTTCAATATAAAAAAATGAGGATTTTTTTTTTTTTTAGCGAAAATGTTTGCCTTTTGTTTTTAATGAAACATAAGTTCGTTTAAAAAATAAACTTAATCTTTACAGTTGAAAAGTTATCACTGAAAGATAAAACAAATTGTAAAATTAAAAAGATAGTCTGAAAAAAAGTTTGATGTTTAGAAATAAAATAAGGAAGAAAAAATTTTTCAATTTTAATATGTAAAAGATATACGTTCTAAATATTAAAGATAAAGCTTTTCAGTGCCGAATAGAGAAAAATATAAGATTAAAAGCATTCACCTAATAAAAGAAAACAAAAAATTAGAAATTTTATTTCGTACTAAAAGTGCAATAAAATTCGATAGATTACAAGAAAAATTTAATTGTCCACGCAAAGTGACTCGTATAAAAGCTTAAGAAATTTAAACAAAAAATAATTAAAAGAGAAAACAATTAGAATTTTTTAATTTATACTAAATGTAGATTCAAGCTAATAAATATAATTAAAAAACAATACTTTTGTGATTTAAATTGTAAGTTATACAACTATTTAAGAATTATAGTATAATATATATTTAATAATCTTCATACAGAAAACCAGTAACTTAAAAAGTAACAAGTTAAAAATACTTTATTTTACAATTAAAAAAAATCTTTATCATTTTATAGATAAAGAAAAGTACAATGACTCTACATAAAAAATGCATTTTATCCTTCAGCAGGCTAGGAAATGAAATTTATACAAAGGTAAAAACAGTTCAAATCTTTCAATAAATGTTTAGGATGCTAAATCTTTATAATTCCGAATACCTTTTATCAGCACCACAACCAGCACTAATTCAATAATAGTGGAACGAATTCACAGCTGTATTCTCAATATTTTCTTTATGAACATAAATTTCTTCTCCAGATTTTTCATTTGTAAAAAATAGATTTAACTTTTGATTTGTTCATTTTCTAGCAGTTGTTTCTGTATAGTATTATTGGTCTTGCAAAGGTTTCATATAATTGTAATTTCTTTCCCTACTAAAATATTTCCAATGTTCATTCAATGCTAGAATTCTATTTTTTTTTCTTTCCTTTTGTAATGACTTCCACCTATATATATTTTACAGATATAAGATGCTCAACAATACCTAGTTCGTTTCTTTTTTATAAAATACTAAGCCAAAACATTCCAAGATTATTGCATATTATTAAAAACATGATGGAATAAAGAATCATCCTCTCTTAATCCGTTCTTTGCAAAGAAAGACTCTTGTATGTCATTTTCACAACTTGCTGTATAAGGTGGATCTGGCCTGTAGTTGATCTCTTTTAATGGAAACAACAAAATAATATTACGATTATTTTTAGAATAAAATCAAATTATATACAATAGTAAATATGTAATATTGGTGCAGTGAGGATTTTTATGAGAGGTCTTGCGATAACTTGTGGTGTATAACTTGCGATATATATGCAATATTGGTGACCCATACCTGGAAGACCAGGGTGTTCCTCTTTGTCTGGTGTCTCCCCTCCGACCTGTCCGGCTTGGGTGACCCTGCCAGTAACTAAGTTACTGCCGGCATAGCTCTCGGGATCTACAACACACACAAACCACAGCACCACGATAAGGTGGGAACACATAGCAGTGGATACACAGGCGAAAACATTTGAAATTTGACCTGATTGCTAGCAGTTATTGCATCCAAAATAATGCAATTCACTCCATAATAAATTGAAATAAGTTGAAAAAAATACTTATAATTAATATAAGAGTGAAGACTGCTGAAATTTAGAATCACGAGATGCGACGGCTTACTCATAACAACTGAAGTGCACAAACAACATGCATTTAAGAATAAAAGCAGTTAAAATTTGATATACGGGGCAAAGCATTGAAATTAATGTAATTCAATTCAGAAAGATAGAATAAATACAACATTTAAAATTTTACAAAAGTTTCAAAGCATTTTCCATAATGGAACAACTAAAAAAACAAATAAAATCTAAAAACGAATAAAATTTTGATCTAAATTTGAACAAATGTGTTCAATTTGAACAAGGGTTGAAAAAACAATTAACAGTTGGTTTAAAATTGATGCTTTCAACTTACTGATAAATTCTGCAAAATACAAAATTAATATATATACAAAAGTTGAAGTCTTACAAAAATTTGACATAGATGTTAATGCATTCTTAATAATAAAATTTAATATAAACAAAAATAATCTGGATATACAAAAATCATGAAGTCTGGATTAAATAAAATTAAGAGATATACAAAGTCGAAGTTTTCCCAAATTTGACACCACGGGTGCTAATGAATTCCTGATGATATAGCTCTAAAAATTGAACAAGCGGTGAAAAAGTTGGTTTAACATGCTTGCCACTTATCGATAAATTCTACAAAATTAATATATATACATAAGTTGAAGTCTTACAAAAATTTGACATAGATGTCAATGCATTCTTAATAATAACATTTAATATAAACAAAAATAATCTGGATATACAAAAATCATGAAGTCTGGAATAAATAAAATACAAAGATATATACAAAGGTGAAGCTTTTCCAAATGTGACACCATGGGTGCTAATATAGCTCTAAAAAATGTAACAAGGGGTGAAAAAGAAATTAACAGTAGGTTTAACAGGGATGCTTGCCCCTTACTGATAAATTCTACAAAATTAATATATATACATAAGTTGAAGTCTTACAAAAATTTGACATAGCTGTCAATGCATTCTTAATAATAACATTTAGTATAAACAAAAATAATCTGGATATACAAAAATCATGAAGTCTGGAATAAATAAAATACAAAGATATATACAAAGGTGAAGCTTTTCCAAATGTGACACCATGGGTGCTAATATAGCTCTAAAAAATGTAACAAGGGGTGAAAAATTAACAGTAAGTTTAACAGGGATGCTTGCCACTTACTGATAAATTCTACAAAATTAATATATATACATAAGTTGAAGTCTTACAAAAATAATCTGGATATACAAAAATCATGAAGTCTTGAATAAATAAAATACAAAGATATATACAAAGGTGAAGATTTTCCAAATGTGACACCATGGGTGCTAATAAAGCTCTAAAAAATGTAACAAGGGGTGAAAAAGAAATTAACAGTAGGTTTAACAGGGATGCTTGCCACTTACTGATAAATTCTACGAAATTAATATATATACAAAAGTTGAAGTCTTACAAAAATTTGACATAGATGTTAATGCATTCTTAATAATAACATTTAACATAAACTAAAGTAATCTGGATGTACAAAAATAAATACAAGATATAAACAAAAGTGAATCTTTTCCAAATTTGACAGAGGCGCTAATAAATTCTTTACTGCCCTTTAAATATAATAGATTTGGTGTTTACGCTTCTGCACTTATTCCTTTGCAACTCTTGAGTTTTCAGCTTCCCAATGTGGCAAAGGCGAATTTTAATGTAATCAAAAAGAACAGACTTCATTAACAAAATCTTGTGGTTATTCAATGGATCTTGATCATAAGAGTGATCATTCAATTCATTGAAAACCCCATTCACTGTATTTGAGCTAATGAAACGTAAGCTTCCAGTAATAAGTTTGTGTACAACATGCTTGACATGTAATCTCCCAGAAGCTTGCATCATCCTGATATTTTTTTCTGCCACCTTACAAATTTTTACAACATCTGGGGATGGGAAAACTAACCCACCCTTATTCTTTCGTTGAGTCAATTTATAATTGCTGAAAGGAAGGGAAGATGGGTTATTACATGAATTAGGCAAGAGTGGTAATATTTCATCTTTCAGTGTCAAAGCTGAAGTACAATGAGTACATTTGACATTTTTTAGAAGCTTACGGCTAACAAACCCAGCAATATGTGACGTAACATCACAAAGATATTCATTTAAATGAAAATCAGGAACTACTTCATCTATGTCAGAATTTTCCTCGTCATTAATGCCTTTACTGTAAATATTTACAGCAGATGACACATTTAAAATGGAACTGCTGTCTAAAGGCATACAGTTCTCTTTGCCACTACTTATGACCTCTGTGTGACATAATAGTCTTACATATGCAGCTGTAAATTGCTTGCAAGTTGGGTTATTATTAAATCCACCCTTGCTTCTGATGGCAGAGAAGAACATTTCTAGGTGGTCTTGCGACAACTTGTACGTCATTAAGAAAGACATCTCAGCTCCAGGACCCTTAATCAAATAATTATATAGTGATGACACACTATATAAACAAATAAAAAAACCCAAGAAACCGGTTCAACGATTGCTCTCAAGAACCAGCGGTCCACCTGGAGCAGTTCTGAGCTCTTCAATATATAGTTCTGCTTCCTCCATGAAGGCCGAGAATTCTTTTTCATTTTTAAGAGTCAAAGGACTCTTAAAACCTTTACTTGCTAAATTGCGAGAATTTAACATATCAAAGAGGTTATTAAAAATCCTCACAAATTTTACAGTGGCTCCGACCCCTTGAAAGTCAGGATGTTTAAGGTCTTTTTCAAGGTACTCCAGAGCATCAGCAACACTGTTACTTAACGTCTGAGCAGCAAGACGTACCTTCATCTTTTCTCTGTACCATTCAATGTGCGCCTTTTTCAATTTTGTGGCAGCAAGCAGACCTTCTTCATTTTGCAATCTCTCTAACCTCTGAATGAATTTCCAGGAAATGAAACCGTCCCTGGGATGGTAAATTGATTCTTTGGAAGCTAAAGTATTGCGAATCAATTTCAACATGTGGCTAGGGTCCAGCAAAACAAATATATTTTTGCCTGTAACAGGATGTGGAAAAAATGGTTTTAGGTTGGCCAAGTCAAAATCGGCACCAAGTTTCTTGGCTGTTGCCAAATTAACACTAGCACCATCAAACGTCAAGCTGACAATTTCCACTTCAACATCAGAAACAAATTCAATGGCCTTTTTAATGAGATTTGCCCTTTCACATCCGTCAAGGCCGTCAATAAAAAAATACCCAATTGGTATTTTCCAGTTTCCGTTAAGGCAGTTGAGCATGAAAACCAAAGCCTCTTTAGCTTCCGGGAGCTGATCTTCATCATTGATGTTCGTTCCAAAATCTACATAGCCACTAAATTGTTTACCATCCCATTCAACATGGCGCCTTATAGCCATCTCATCGGTGATCATGCCACAGATAATTGGCTTCTTTGCAGCTTTTGCCTCTGCCACTTTCATTTTTAAGGCATTTATAGCTGGCACAGAAAAACCTGGTGAGCCATCAATGGCCTGGTACCATTTTTTAATGGTAGAGGGGTGCGGCAAACATGTATTGAAGACATTTCTAACATATTTGTACGCCTTTGTGGAATAAAAATGGAGGGTCAAGGCAAAACTTCTTAATTCAGGGCTATATTTTTGAGTTGATGTTTGCTGCTTCTGAACACGCCTCAACAATTCAGTTGCAGCTAAAAACGAAAAAAAAATTATCAACAGAAGTAATTTGCATTACAATCAAAAATACTTTTAAGAGTAGTTAATCGAAAATACCTTTAAGTTACAATAAAATAATAGTTCGATTTAAACCATTTCTTGCCTTCCTTTTCTCAAACTAATACTTCAATTTTTGTATTAAGATTTAAGAATGTAAACAATTAAAAATTATTCAATCATTAATAATTTTCCAATATAAGTTTAAATGTTTTCAGAATTATTTTTAAAGCCAAAATCACCACCAAGTATTTTGGCTGTTGCCAAATTAACACAAATACCATCAACTGTCAACTTATTGCCAATCATATCAGAACCAATTGTTTTTTTTAACCTATTTTTTTCACTTAAACTGAATTTTTTTTTGTTTCTTAAAAACAAAGTGTTAAATAATACTTTATCCATTAAAATAAATGAACTAACCATGGAACAGTAAAGTTTTATAATTAAAATGATGGCTCTCATACTTACTTTAATTATAAACTATAATTATGTTTTCTTAAAACAAAAATTTTATAAATTTTTCGTCTACAAAATCTTGTGGCAATAATGTTGAGGAAAATATTGTTTTTTAAACATTTTGTTTTGAAGGTAGACAGATACCTTAGAACAGGGGTGGCGAACCCTTATGCACCAACGTGCCATTTTTTCTGAAAAATTATTGTGTCCAATTCCAAAATATTGTGTCACGTGCCATAAATGGCATGCGTGCCATTGGTTCGCCATCCCTGCCTTAGAAGAAAATCATTTTTGGGTTGTTATAAACAAAATAACAAAAGCATGTATCAATTGGAAATAAATCAAGGTGAATCAGTAAATGAATTATGTCTTAAAACTAATTATGTCATAATTTCTAGTGATTCACATAATTTGTCAACAATGCCTAAGGATCCATATTATCAACTTATATTAACATTTAATAAGACAAACATTAATTAAAAATAACACCTCCACATCAAACTTATACCTTATAGTTAATCTAAAATAAGTAGTTAGCATGTTGTTAATTTTAACAGATAAACAATATTAAATTGATAAATTAATACCTCTAAAATATCACAAGCAGATTGTGAAATCAAAGCCTTTTTCTTCACCTCTGTTAATATTTCTTGAAGAGAAGCAACTTTTTGTTTCAATCTCTTAGATTTCTCTGTCATAGACTTCAATTTTTTTCGATGGATTTCCGACTGATTTTTAGCCATATTCAAAACTTGGCAAGCTTTACTTGGAGAAGTCATGTCTTCATCATTAAAATCTCCAATATAATGTTAACGTTTCTTACCTAAAAAAGAAAGGAAAGATAAAGCAACTATCAAATTAAATCTTACAGAAAAATTTTATTCGGAAATTTTTGTTTAATGTTTTTCTGAAACCATATTTTACTGCATGTAACAATTTTAATAACATTCGATTTTGATTAAAGAAAATCAATTTTGAAAGAAAAATACTAAATTATATACCCAGAAAAATTCTAAAATAGATAGTAATAATTAGATATTTCAATATAACTCACTTCAATTAAAAAATTAATTTTTAAATAATACACATGCATACAAAGCGTAAACTTACTTGATTCAGGATTCGACAAAGCAATATCAGCAGATCTTTTAATTGCAGTTTTCCTGTTGTTTGCTTTCGGTTGCAAGTGGCTAGGAAAATCAAATATAGTTGGCACTGCACTTTTCTTTAGCCATGTGCCACCAAATCTCTCTGTATCAAAGCAGTCTGGCGTAAAATGCTTAGAACATATTCTTGTGCTATCCGATGCTGTGAAATTCTCTCGTCTTAGTTTGGAAGACCATAGCTGTCTTCTAATCTCATCTTTAGGAAAGCTAAACAAAAAGATAATATTTTTCAATACTTTTAAAAGCATTTTCTTATACTTAAACAAAACAAAAAATATATATACTTTTACTAGTGTATTAAATATTTAAAATTACATTTTCTTCAATATCACTGAACTAAATTAAATAAAGATTGTTAGGATGATCATTCCTGCTATTAAACATATTTTGAACACTGAGAATAAAATTTAACAAATAATAATTTTAAAGTTTTAAAACTAATATCACTTTCACATTTAAAATAAATTCTAATAAACGACCAAAATTGTAATAATTCCAAATTTTTTACTTAGTATATTAGGTTTTACACATTTAGCAAGTATATGATAAATACATGCAAATGATTAATACATGCTTATTAGTGCCAGCTGATTCACCTTTATGTTTGCACACTTATAGCAATTTATGCTATTTGTCAAAGGGAAAAAAACCTTTAAACTAAGTATTATTAATAAATTCTAGGTTAAATACAATTAAGTAAAAAAAAACTATCACTTATTNAAAAATAGTAAGTGCATTTAAAACTATATCTTTTAGCCAGCTGCAAATTAAATATATACAATCTAGATAAAGGTAAAAACAGTTGAAATTTTACAAGAAAGGTTCACGATGCTAAATCTTTGCACCACAGCCAGCTGTTAGCCTTGGCCGTCTGAGCAGTTTATTCCATACCAATGCATAACATGCGCTAATTTACTGCACTAATTTACTCCTATACAACTTATCCACTTCTATGTTATGTTTTCTAAATTTGTTGCACTAAATCAAACTAATTCTACGCTTTAATATACTAGTAAAATAAAGTATTTCCAATAAAGCAACTATTTTTAAATAAAAAGAAGATAAACAAGTACTTAATGATTATATTAAATATACCTTAATTTATTTTCTAAATAGTACATAATTTGTATTCATTTTATGTATAGTAACAGAATTATATAATTTTATTAAAAATTAACACTAAAACTACTATACACTATTTTATATTTAAATACTAAAAATATTTCATAGAATTTAATTATTCATCAAACATATAAGAATATACAAATAATTTGGTTTTTAAGCATTCCTATGTAATTTAAAAAACACAACTTCTTATGTACCATATTTTTTATTTAAATATATATATTTAAAGGAAACATTTTAGAACAAGATAAATATTGGGTTTTAGTAATCAAGAGGTAAAGATATACAAAATCTTCAGAATATACAGAAATGATATCGACATTTAAAGAGAACTAAAACAAAACCGAAAGTTTACTCAACTGTTCCTTGGCGCTAAAGTATCTCGCCAAGGAAGCCAACAAAGCTTTGCAGCTATTTCAGCTAAAAATAGAGTATATATTGAAAGATACTTAAACAAAATAAGTTTAGAGTTTAAGAAACAATCGAAACTAATGTTAAATGCAAAAAAATGAACAAAAATGAGAGTAATTGATTATTAAAGCAAATAAAGCATGATAATCATGGCATCTCTGAGTATCAGAAAAATTTAAAACTCAATTTTAAAATAGAAAAATGGGAAAAAAATGTCGCCCTTACCTGTGAAAAGTTACAGGACCTCTTATAGAAAACTTCTCCTTGCAGCCAAATGCGCAGCACTTTAAAACCAATCTTATTTCTTAATTAAAAAGACATACAGTTAATTGCATCAGACGATCGCAATGCTAAACGAATGGGCGGGAGAAGAAGTGGTTACAGTCAACCACAAGTTTGGGCTACAGTCACGTGACTCTATCTTGTCCACGGGTCAGGGGTTACTCTACTCTCTCTACTCAGTATTTCAATTCTATGCTGCGCACTGGCCGCCTTTACGTCCCTGACAAGCTGGTACCCATCGTTCTGAAGCTGAGTCGACTTCAAGTCGCCACAGGGGATCCAACCCCAGTTCTTCACAATGACAGTTCAGTGCCTTAACCATTGAGCCATCTCTTCTCTTAGTTATACATAAACCCTAGATAAATATGGGTGCTATGACTCCCAGGTACTCTACAGTATCAAATGATTTGTACTATGTTGCATCATTATATAGGTACCTACCACATAATACGGAACAAATTTTCAACAGTTTTGATGAAGTGTTAACAATATTTATGTTAAATTTTAGTTATTTTAAGTTGAACAATATTTATGTTAAATTTTAACCATAATCCAGGGTAATCAATTTTTAAAAGTGTGATGATATGGTTCAACTTAGCATTATATTTAGGTAGCAGCAAATTTAAACAAATAACAATTAATATATTGAAAATGAGTTTTGAAATTTTCAACAGTTTAGTGATTTTTCTCCCTTTTTGTCGTTGGTTCTTCTCCTTTTCTTTTGTTAGACATAATTGCTCGCACAAGAAGATTTTTCTCTCCTTTTGTAATTGGTTCTTCTCTTCTTCTTGTGTTAGACATAATACTGGTTTTTTTAATTTTGTAACATTTTCTTTGTATTTTCGTAAACATATATTTTCCTTCATTTTTGAACAGAGTGCTAGTGCTTTTGCATCTCATGAATCCTTTAATGTATGTACAATGTGCAAAAAAAAGGGACCAATCTGAATAACTGTTGATCTAATGATTGGATCTTTTCGTTCCAGTACTCATTCTTAATAGTTGAAGGGGGTAACCCCAAATATGCAAACTAATTAGTGCAGACGATATTTTAAGTTACTAAATCAGACACAAAAACGTACTTTCACTGAATAAATATACTTTTTTTTCAATGGATTGGGATTTCTGACTACTAAAATATAAGGGGTACCCACAATCTGGAAAACAAGGTTCCCATAGTTTGGTCAGGCAAAATCGTTTGCATAGTTCCTAAGAAATCAAATTGTTCGATTCCACAAAAATTATTCAACCAATTGCACCCAAATTTTGCATTTTACCATGTTAAATCATAGATACTTTGAAATGGTGTAAAAATTTTATACCTCACATTTCAAAATGTTTTCGACTATTTTTAAATAAAATAAGTATTATCTTTAATACTTATTTATTATAAATTATCTTTGGACAAACGAATTTTATAAATGTGTGCCGAAATTTTAAAATTCCTATAAGAAATTCTCCAGATATGGTGAAGGACCATATTTCTTAGATTGGGACTACCCTCTATATTTTGGGGGTCAGAAATCTGAATCAGTTGAAAAAACGGTATGTTTATTCGGAGAAAGTACGTTTTCGTGCCTGATTTCGCAACCTAAAATATCGTCTGCAATAACTTAAAATATAGTCTGCGTAACTTAAAATATCGTATTAATTACCATATAACCCCCTTGAACGATTACGATTGAGTTATGGAAAGAAAAGATCAAATCACTAGATCAAAAGTTATTATTCAAAGTGGTCTGTTTCTTAGTGGCTTGCTGTTCAATCAAAATAGAACTAATTGTTACATTGTCTCAATTTTTGCACGATATTTATTGTTTCGAAATTATGTTACTTCATTGGGGAATTAACAGAGTCCTCAAATTACAAGTGACAAAATAAAATAATTTTAAATTCAAATCGTTACTCACAGTTTTAAAAAAAAGGGTGATAATACTGGTGTAGCTCAATCAATATAATTTTTAAATCAAAGATGGGGCACTTTCATAAAATATACTTTTCAGAGAGGGAACACTTTCAATTTTATGTAGCATTAAATTTTTGGAAGAGCTATTTTCAGTTTATATGCTAATATTATTAATATTACTTAAATATTGAAAATGCTACATAGGTTATAAAACTCTTAAACATATCAAAATAATTTTTCTTAAAAAATATCTTTTCGTATCAAAAGAATTTAAATCATATGGGCATAAATATTAAACTAAACATTAAAAAAAAATTTTATTTAGATAAATCTCTTTTTTATATAATATGTTGACTTGTTAAAGAAATTCGTTTTTCTGTCAATGATATAAGCAAACTTTGTGAAGGACTTCTTGAGACACGAAACAAAAAATAAAAAGAAAACTCTTTACAACGTTTTTAAGAGTCATATTATATATCATCACTTGAGAGCCTTTCGGAAAAGTTATTGGAGGTATAACTTTCCTGACTTTTACGTTGTTACGGTGAAGAATAAAGGTGATTGACGCAATAAAAAGTGATATTCTGGGTAAAATTAATATAAAAAGGAGTCATTTTAGTTGAAAATTCGCAATCATGACCCCTAAGGATTATGCTATTAATTAAGACAAAAAAGCTTTCCGTTATTAGCAGTCATATACTTGCTATCATTTTTTTTTAAATTTGTTTTGTATTAAAAATAATTATTGCATTAACATTACATGCACCTTGTATTAATATTACGCACAAAGACATCTGAAAAAAAAATTCCGGTAAAAATACTATGTTATTTAATGATGACATTCCCGGTTAATAAAACCAAAATGTACTGTATTTAAACAATTCGTTAATACAGTACATTTATTAACGAATGTACTGTATTAACGAATACAGTACATTCGTTAGCAGTGTAAGTTATTGGAGGTATAACTTTCCTGACTTTTACGTTGTTACGGTGAAGAATAAAGGTGATTGACGCAATAAAAAGTGATATTCTGGGTAAAATTAATATAAAAAGGAGTCATTTTAGTTGAAAATTCGCAATCATGACCCCTAAGGATTATGCTATTAATTAAGACAAAAAAGCTTTCCGTTATTAGCAGTCATATACTTGCTATCATTTTTTTTTAAATTTGTTTTGTATTAAAAATAATTATTGCATTAACATTACATGCACCTTGTATTAATATTACGCACAAAGACATCTGAAAAAAAAATTCCGGTAAAAATACTATGTTATTTAATGATGACATTCCCGGTTAATAAAACCAAAATGTACTGTATTTAAACAATTCGTTTGGTTATTTATCTGTTCATATTATAAAGGCTTATCGGATATTCTGATCTTCAGAATTACTTTTCTTATTACCACACATTTAGTAGGAAATACAAAACTGAAAAATAAATTTGACCGGTGTCAAAATTTATACCGAAGCGCTGCACTTAGATAAAAATTACCCATACTTTTGTGTTTCCACAGAGCCAGAAACACAGATTTTTACACCGATGAACTTCCTGACGCGTCATTACCGTAACAAATATTTTAGAAATGCTTATTAAAAATATGGCTTTCAAAATTATGTGTATGGAATGCATTTAATTGTTATGGAACAAAAATTATTTGCTTTCGATTCCCTTGTGAGGGGCACACGTAAACTCAACACAATCAGAAGTTTTGGAGCTTCTTAAACCATATAATCGATTAAATTTCCTGCAAATGCAATATGAAGCTTCGTCGAAAAATATCTTACTAATTAAACTTGATTATGGGTTACCATTGTTCAAGTGAAGTAGAAACATGGTGTGGTTTAACATTTTATTAAGGTTACAGTATATTTTCAGCTTATTATGTTTCAATTTACCGAAACTAAGGTTCAACTTTGAACTACTTTTTCTGCAAGTGAAGGGTTAAAAATGCATTTGTCTTAACATGTTGCAAATTTCAGGAAATTATATTTTGCAACAATTTTTAAAATATGTTTATCTTATCTTCGAAATTTTTGCCTTTGACTTTTAAGGTGTTAAATTCTAAAACACTAGCATTAAATGGTACATTTCTAATTTCAAATTTTTCATTGTAAGGATGAAAAAAGTTAGGAAAATGAATTCTTTCATGAACAAGAAAATAAACCTGAGACTAAGTAGAAAAGTTTTTAGCGCCTATAATAAGCATTTTCTAAAAACCTGCCGTTACATAAATAAGTAGTTCAGTAGATTAGTCATTGTTGAATAAGAATAAAATAAGCAATAAATATTTAATGTATTTGTAATTGCGTAATGAATAGAGAAATTTTACAGCTTTTGTAATATGATTTTTTTTTATTTATCAGTGAAATAAAAATCATTAATACTTTTCAGATTAGTGTATAATATATAATATAAAAAGGAACTTCTGAAATTGTGTTAGTGCAGTTCATGCTTGTAAGGTATTTCAATTTTTTTAAGTCACTTAAAACTAAACTCAGTGGCGCGACAACCCATAGAGGGCCAAGGCCTACTGTATCCATCTCAGTTTTCCTGACCTTGGTTTCTGGGGTGCAGGAGCAGGTGCTCTGGTTAGGTGGTCAGCTGAACACGGAACCCCCAGTGTTTAGTTCCCAAGCATGCTTGGTGCTCATTTATCGACCCACTGAAGGGATGAAAGGCTGAGTAAACCTCGTCCGGCCCAAGGATCGAACCCAGGACTGTGGCAAGGGAGACTCAGTCACCGGGAGCTTTTTAAGTCATCAAATGTACTAAATGCACTTAAACTTATTAATTAAAAATAATTTTATAATATAGCATTTTATAGGATTATAATTGACAATTAAATTATAAATAATTGAATTGCAAATTTCGCTTACAGATATTAAAACAAAGATGTAGATATTGACCGCAGTGTTTTGACTTTTAGGGCGTGTAAAAATATTTTGAGAAACGTCTCATTTAATATTTTACATCCAAATGTTAACCTACATTATATTTCACTTTTGACTTTCTTAACGTTAACTCCTCAAATTTAAACTATTCTTAACCTTCACGATAATTGATATTGTCTTATTAACTCCTAGTAGGTATATATGCTACTGGTAAAGTGTATAATTCAACTATTACAGAGAATAACTAGACAAGTCATGAAATAACTAGACAAGTCAGCTAAAGTTTATAAAAGATGAAAAATTTCATACTTTGCCTAATTATTCTATTAAATAACTAATAGATCGTTAAAGTGAAAAATAAACAATTTCGAAGTTATTTTATGAATTAATTCATCATTAATAGCTAAAATCTCACGAAAAATACATTTTATCCCTATTGCGGATGATTAATTGATAAGTAATAAAGAAAAACAGATGGTATGGTTTATTAATACTCATAACGTTAACGTTAGTTAAACAGAAAGGAAGAAAAGATTATGCTGCAGAAATAGTTAGATTTAAATATTATATAAAATAAAATACATACGGGAAAGAAAAACTGCTGCCTCATAAAAACGGTGTGTTAACTTTTTCAAACACTGTTTAAACTTTTTTTACGTCTGAAAGCAACGGAATGAAGCGTACACACCCACACGTCATTGTAAGCAGCTATAAGTGGTTTAAAACTGACTAAAAGCAGGTAGAGCCGGTTCAAAGAATGAGTGCCGTATTTCATGCTTTACCGATCAAGTTTTCGTTATTCTGTAGAATACCTAGTTAAATTATAGAATCCAATGATTGTATACTTTAACTGATTTGTCTAGTTAATTCATGAAATATATAGTTATTCTACGAAATATTGGATTTCACACTTTAACGGTGACTAATATAGCTCTGTTTACTTGATTTTTTAACCTATAATATAAATAAAGATATAAACAAGTAACTTAGTTATCCATAAAACATACTATATTTTCTCGACGTAAAAAAATTTTATCTGAATTCTGTGGAATATTCGAACTGAATGAAGTGGCGAGGGCTTTGTATTGAGAGAAACTCTATAATTTAATCCCTGATAAAGGTTTTCTTTGACAATCGCGTGACAGCATAATGCTTACTCGGGTGACACTCTAATCAAACTCATCTTCCTGACATCCAAATTATCAAGTATTATTCATCTGATGGTTCCATTCGAACAATCTGGGATTTCCAAATAGACAGTTGTGTTCTATTTTATAGAAAAGCTGTAATTAAGATTTCCAGTAAAGAGTTAATGTATTGGTTTTTATTGTTTATTTTAAATTATCATTGATTAAAAATCGATTTGTAATTTTTTAGGGGATTCCATACCTACTCACTGACTATTGTTTCGCAATAATTTTATATATTTTTGTCATTAAGTAGATAATTATTATATTAAAGATCCTGAAATGCTTTATTCCATTGATTCAACTAATTTCGTTCCTGATTTTATTATGATCAATATTCGAGGTAATATTTTTCAAATCATAGCTTAATAAGTTATTATCTTAACTTTTAAAGTTATGTTAGTTATTATTATCATAACATGCTTTTTTTCTTTCTTCCTAATTCTCATTTAACTTTTGGATGCTATTAAAACTTATTTAATGTTTTTGGTCAAAAAGATTAGCTAGTTAATAAGTTGAAATGTGATTCATAGTTTGACTTCGCAACTGTAAACAGTAGTTTTAAATTGTAATAATTTTTAATTGCATATGCTGAATGTGCACAATTTTACAAAGAATATATTAAAAGAATGAAAAAAATTATCAAAAAGTAAATATAGGTAACGTATTTACGGTCAAAAGATTGAAAATCGGTAGTTCATTAAGTTTATCCTAAAATATCGCGTACACGTAATAGGGTAATATTTATAGTATAATATAACAAAGATACACGACTTTTAGTTGCATGGTTTAAATTATAAATAATATGATCATGATTGATATTTTCTATATTATCATAAATCTAAGAAAAATATCTGAATAGATAGTTAAAAAATAATTGAAGACAACTTCAAAAAATTCATAATAAATACATTTGTTATCAAAATAGAACATATCACAAATACTATTAAGTAAGAGATGAATAAAAAATTTACAGGTAAACACCATAAGCCAGATAATAATTAAGCCAGATCTTACAAGTTCCATAACTTCATTTACTACTAAATTAGAATTTTATATTTCCTATACATGAAAGATTATAAACATATTTTACGAGTTTATTTATATGGTTATACGTTTAGTACCTTTTCATACCAGCGCTAAGTTTATTGCAGTCCTAAATCTTTAAACTTTCTACTAAGAGCAGAAATTTTAAGCTTCAAGATTTCATTTTATCCCTTACTGTGAGCCAAACTTTGAAAATGGCGCTGTTCTTTACTGTCAATATAATCGTAGGATTTATACTTCATTCAGCGTCACGATAATCGAATTTTCTTGTGGGGTTTTACCGGAATTCAACCACACGACATTGGCTATTGGATTCTGCCATGCCACTTTTTTCCAAGCCGATAAAAATTACAAAAATAAATATAATGACTAGGAGTTATAGCTTTCCGATATTAAACTAATGAAGTTATCGAACGAAATCACTTTGTTTAAAGTTTAATTTACTGGTAAAAAATTAAATAGCATTTTTTAACTAGTTTATTGTTTCATAAAAATACTTAGTTGTACAATATAATTCTTTCAAATCATTAATTATTACTTGGCATATATTTACCTTTTAGACCAGCGACATTTAAGATTTCCTCATTATGAACTCCAGAGAAAATTATTGGAATGAATTTATTGACATACTTTTCGATATTGCGTTGTTCATTGCTCCATTCTTTTTACAAATTTAAAAAATAAAAACTAAGATTAATTCTTTATAGCAGTTTAAAGCAACCTAGGCAATTTAAAGGATTGATTTTTCGTATTGGAATGTAATATATACTTATATATATTTAAATATATTTAAAATTACACATTACAAGTGATTTATATGATGTGTGTCATCAAATCATCTACTATGCATTATTCACATATACACTTTATAATGTTACTTGACTTAATCTTATAACTTATAAAGAATATTCCTAAATTCACGCAAGATTTGAATTAAATAGAAAATTAATTGTTCAGTATTGGCAACCAAAAAAAAAGAAGAACACAGCTAGACTGTTGATAGTGTCAGTTTGTAAAAATGCAACACTACAATTTCATTTTTTTTTCTATTATTGGCGTTGAACCCAATTCTGTGCTTCCGTCTACCCATAACCCTGTAATTTTGAAACCAACGTAGAATGCAAGGGAACTTTTGAGTCAAACATTCTGACAAACGAGACTTCATGGTGAAATTTATGAGGGAACAAACATGCATTTGCGTTACACGGAAAGGAAAACCAAGAAAACCTACCGTGATTAGCCCGATGTCAAATGCATTCTAACCCATAATTCGCCTACCACTGAGAATATTTTACGTCAACACTGTGGTCGGTGCGAGCGGGGGGCATAATCTATCACAACCAGCCACAGTTGGGATTCGTACCTGGGGCACCTCATTGGGCAGAGAATGCTCTTTCCACTAAGTAACCACGGCTCCCTGCCACGTTCAACCGTT